GGGGGTTGCCTGGCTGCCTGGCTGCTGCAGAGGGAGCCATGTTGTTCTAGGATGTTCTAGGATGCTAGAGGGGAATGGGTGGAGCTCCTGCCTTGTTCCAGCAGACCTGTGGGTTTAGGAAGGAGCTCTGATCCTGAAGGTGTTTCTTGCTTTGGTTCTTCTAACGCTTTCTGGTTCCCTGCAGGTTCTGCTGTTGGTTCCTCTCTGCGAACACCCCTTCCTGCTGTGCTCCTCAGAGTCCGCCGGTGAGGAGACGGCTCTGGATCTCATGTCCGTCTTCCTCCAGTGTCCTCCCAGGTCTCAGCAGTTCCGCTGTCATCTCCTGGTGGCCCTCACCAGCGTCCTGATCTGCTCCTCCTGCGCCGGCTCCCGCTCCCGAGCTTCTCTGGACTTTCTGGACCTGCTGCTCCAGGTCGCTCAGGACACCAGTGATCACCATGGCGACAGCAGCCCGCTGTGCCTGCGGAACACAGCCGCAGAATGCCTGCGTGAGATGGAGGCCAGCTGCCCAGGACTTCTCTCCCAGCGCCTGGAGCTGTTGGGCGGGTTGCGGCAGCAGGAGACCTCCAGGCTGCATCAGGCCTACGCGGGTCTGCAGGTTCTGGTTCTGAGGAATGCTGTTCTTCATTTGACCAAGGAATCGGGAGCAGGTGCTGCACAGCTCAAAGCGCTGCTAGGAGGACCCAGCTGCGCAGACCAGGATGTCTTTCAGATGGACGCCAATGACCCAGCCGTCCAGGCGTCCCTGGTTCTGGGACCCATGGGCCGAGTTCCCACCCTGCCAACCGGGCCAGACTGTAAGGAGCTGCGCTCCATCCTCTCCTCCCTGCTGGAGGAGTCCTACCTGCTCAGCCCTCTGTGTCAGGCTGCTCTTCTCCACAGGCTGATCGAGGTGGTTGCCATGGCACCGGGGATCCCTCCTGCCATATTCAGAGCTCAGCTGCTGCGACTGCTGGGAACCAATCAGGTCAGAGATCCGTTTAAGTCTCCCTTCTTTCCAGCAGGGTTCGTTTCGCTGCTGTTCTAAACAATATCACCAAAATTAAACTGCTGGACCTTCAGAACCCTCACTAGACAAACGGGTGTTCTGTTCCGGTCCGACCCGGGTGTTCTGTTCCGGTCCGACCCGGGTGTTCTGTTCCGGTCCGACCCGGGTGTGATACAGTACTGTGTGACTAGAGGCTGTGTTGGTTTTCCTTCCTCTTTGGTCCGACTGTCGGGTTCAGAGAACTTCTTAAACCGGTTCAGATTCCAATGATTATTTCCCTCACAGCCGCCATGCAGCAACAACCAAAATGTTTCTGTTGTGGAAATGTTCAGTCCTATTTTCAGATTTTTGTAATTATTTTATTATAATAAT